GTCCGGCTGAGGTAGTTCATGTGGGCGAAAGCCTCGAAGTTCGGCTCCACCCCGTGCAGTTCGCACCCGGCCACATAGCCGAGTACGTTGACCCAGGAGTTCGGGGCTAACTGCCATAACCCCAACTCATACCCATCCAAGATCCGCTGAACAGCCGGATGTAGTGGGAAGCGCAGCCCAGCCTTGATGGCCGCCTCGTAGCAGCCAAAGCAGGCGCCATCATAACTGGTACCAGCCAGCCAGACGACTGTGTCTTCTGAATCCGGCACGAACACTAAAAAGCCGGGGCCCATTGTGTGGTTTGCGATAAAGCTCTCCACTTTCTCTTGCATGGCCGTGATCCGGCCCCGGGGTACCGTGCAGTAGTAGGGGGTATTTTGCTCTCGGTGAGAGGCGGATGGCTCCGCCCAATCGTCCCCCTTCTCAACTGCGTGAGAAAGCCTCGCCTCTTGTAGGCGACTGTTTTTCTCTTCTGTGTCCAGAGAAGCATGGCCAGAAGAGCTAGACTCGGAATCGTCCTCTGACGAGTCCGAAGAGGACGACTCCTCCCCTCTCCCGGAGGGGCCCGCCTCCTCTCCTTTAAAAGGAGAAGGAGAGAATGTAGAATTGTCAACTGTAAAATGGGAAGGGGTCACTTTGACTCCTCCCTCAGAACTGCCGGCTTTCAAGCCGCTTTGTTTCATTTCCACATCTGGCGCCTGGTCAGATGTTTCACTAATTGGCACCCTGTGGGAGGAGCCGTCTGAGTTTGAGATCCTGGCAGTCTTTTTTGTTCTGGCCATCATGCTCTGCATAGACACATATACAGTCGGACTTTGTATAAAGGGCAAAGATGGGTCCAGAAAAGGGCAGGCGGCACTCCTAGTCCTAGATTCAGTCGTCCCCGGTGACCGGCTGATCACTAACCTAGGTCGTGTCGTGTGCTTCCGTGGTGCCATTTTAAAAAAGAATAAAGTAAAGAGAAAATTAAGAGTAAGAGAACCGACGGTTACCTGAACGAGTGACAATTGATGAAGTTCTGAAAATCCTTTGCAGTCGGCTTGTCAGAGCAGGCGGTAGGCAGAAAGGGTCCAAAATGTCAGAGCAAGTTCAGGGGTTAGAATGTTCTCTCACAAAGTTTTCAAGTGTGAAAATGACCGAAGTCCACACTCCTTTATATAGGCGAAGTGAGAAGGCGAAGGGTTACTTCCAGAATTCAAAATTTTGGCGGGAGAATCACTCGGCCTCTCGCCGAGTGACACCTGTAGCAGGTCGTCGCCTGTTACAGGGCGATACCTGTCACAGGTAACACGTGACCAGTCACGTGCCACCTGTGAGGGGCAAATGATTAGGGGATTTTGCTCCCACCAATCGGAATGCGCCACGTGGGCCAATCAGGTCCTGCCAAGTGTTCCCCAGTTGGACCTCTCAGGGCTTGCCACGTGGCACACGCTTATTCGTCCGCCTTGGACCTATTATGTCATGACACGTGGCATACTCCATGCCTAATGGAGAAGTCGGCCACCCAGGCCCAACTTCCGAGGGAAGCCCAATCAGCCTAAGGTTAACCTAAACCTAGATTGGCACGTTTCCCGAGGTTATAAATACTTCCCTTAATCCTCATTAAGGGAGATTACGCAGATTACACACATAAAACTCTCTCACCTAGAGAGACCCAATCACTTTAGTTTCCGCATTAATTACTCCTTAATCAAGTACTAACTTGACCGTCGGAGGCGGATCTCCAATCATCCGGAGCATCCGTTTGTTTTGCAGGTACAGGCGTCCGGTTCCAGTCTCGGAATTGTAACTCTCCCGCAGGACATCAGAAAACCCCGAAACAGTTACTATGTTAAAATTATGGGTCACTATATAATTCATATAATATTAGTTCCGTGGGTATGAACATCAGGGCCACAATAATATTATTATGGACCAGGTCCACACAAGTTTTTTCCATACATATAAAGTGTTAATCACTTTTTGATATGAGAAATTATATTCACTAACTTTCATATATGGCAGCCACTTTTTTTTTTTTTTTTGAAAGAATGGTCAGGGTTACTCGGTCAGTCGTCAAGGGTTACTCACTCGGTCAGGAGTTACTCACTCAGTCAGGGGTTACTCGGTCAGTCAGGGGTTACTTGGTCAGGGGTTACTCGGTCGGTTAGGGGTTATTCAATCAGGGGTTACTCGGTCAAGGGTTACTTGGTCAAGGGTTACTCGGTGGGTCAAGAGTTACCTCGTCAGGGGTTACATGGTCAGGAGTTACTTGGTCAGGGATTATTTAGTCAGGAGTTACTTGGTCAAGGGTTACCCAGTTGGTCAGGGATTACTTGATTAGGGGTGACTCGGTCAGGGGTGACTCGGTCAGGGGTTACTCAGTTAGGAATTACTCGTGTGTTAGCTGGCCACACAGTGTGGCTAGCCACACAAAAAAGTTGTTGAATTATATTAGGTTTGGTTTGGTTTATCTAATTTTATATGAAAATTATTTTATTTTATTTTATTTTATATTATCTAAATTTATTTTATTTTATTTAATATTTTATATATCTTATTTTATTTTATTTTTTTTGAAATTAATTCAACTTATTTTATTCTATTTAAACTTATTTTATAAATAACCTTAGCTAATTATTATTTTTCAATAATTTTTAAATAAAAAATCATGTGAAGTTTATTTAATAGAGAAAAATTATCGGCAAAATAGACAAAATATATCTTAAAGAAAATCTTCTTTAACGGAGAGGCTCGGAGAGCTTTCTCGTTTTATTTTCATTTTAGAAAAGTTGACTAACAAAGTTAAGTATATGTAACAGAGTGGAAATTAATAAAAGCCTTTTTTTTTTAATTTGATGATTCTTTCCTTCTAATGACATAAGACTAAAGAAATTAATATCTCTATAACAATATGAACATTAATATCTCTATAACTCTCTGTGAGACGAGGTGGAAACACATTAGCGGTGGGAACACATTAGCTCATCATGTAGCTAGATGAGAGTATACGGGTTGTGATGAGTTTGTTTATCTCGGACCTTTTCCTCAAAGTCTAACAATTATTGCGGGAATTGATTTTCATTAATATTTTTCCTGGCCAGTTTCATTGAAAAAAATTATGAACATCATTAGATATTCTAGGGCACCAAACTGAAGATAATTATAAAGCTTAGGGTATTAGAGTGTAATTACCAAACCACAAAACACCATGGTCAAACAGAGTTTAAAAGCTCGAGGTACCAAAGTGGAATAATGTTTAAGCTCAGGGTACCAAACTGGTCCAATACTAGTCCAGGTCCAATTCTGCATACCCCGAGTTGAATGTACTATAAATTAAAAAAAAAAAAAAAAAAAAATCTAGTTGTATCACTGTAGCTTCTACTTATTACTTATATAGTATTCATCTTTATGACTATATGTGTTATTAATTTGTACATTAAGAAATTTGTAACCAAAATAAATTCACATTGAAATTGAACAAATCAGCAACTAAGAAATACAACCTTTTTTATTGAAATTTTCTTTGAGGAGGCGGATGTACCAAGCATCCAGATCTTTAATTTTTTATAAAACAAAAGTGGAATGAATATATACTTGTTTTACAATGAACATATAGTTGTTTTGTAAAAGAGCATATACCTGTTTTATAAAGAACATCCAGCTTTATGTTCTTTTTATTTGTATATCTAAAGAACATCCATAATATTAATAAAGAACATACTAATATTATGTAATGAACATTATTTATATTCACCCACTATACTCTAAAGACAAAATTCAAAGAACATTTCACAATAAACATTAACATTATGTTACAAATAAAAGTACAATACAATGACAATCAAAGAAATGGAAATAAAGAACATTATTTAACAGTATGTTCTTTTCACTCTAGGTATATGTTCATTACATTTTAATAGTAGGTTCTTTTCACTGTAACTATATGTTCATTATATTTCTTTGCTTGCTTTCTTCTTCCAAAATGTAATTATTGGTCGGTCTAATTCTTCAGTAATTTCATTTTGTTTCTCACTGCAACACCAAATTAATTTCCAAAAAATCAAACCAAAAAATTTAACAAAAAAAAAAAAAAAAAAAAAACAATTTTCAACTGAAATTTGCAAAAAAACTAACATTCTAACTCAAATAATCAAGTATGCATGTCGAATTTGGTCTTACTTTTCATTTTTGTCGGTCATCTTGAACAATTTTGCACTCACAAGTTTGAAATTTTGAATTATTGCTTAGGGTTTGATGAACTTGAACGGGTTTTCAGATTTGTTTTGGGAGAGAAAACTTCTAGAGAGAGAATTAATTTTTGGCAAAGTAAATAAACTAAAATGATTTGTAATTAATGTATGGTAAGAAATAATTACTACTTATCTATTTCCTTTTTTACAAAACTGATGCACAAAAAACTCCCGTACATTATAAGTGAACATTGTGTTCTTTTATATGTCCATGTACATTGGGATATAACTACATGTATATTTCGCCTTTTTTATTAAAAAAAAAAAAAAAAAAAAAAAACTCTTGCGTTTTTTCCAAGCCCATGTCATTTCAGAGCGTATGCACAATGCGGACGGTGCATACGCCCCCACAATGGCCACAAACCACGCATTACTTTTTCATCAGTAAAATTGTTAATTTGAAAACCATTTTTAATTGGTGAAAATCAGTAGGATCATGCAATAAATAGCACTAGTAATCTCTCAAAGTCAGTATTAGTAAGAAAAAATCAATTTTAATTAGTATTCAACTTAATCAATAATTACTATATAATACTTCGTATTAATCAGTTAAAAAAAATAAAATAAAATTGGACAAAGCCTAACTCAACATCAAGTCTTAATTTTGCTATTAATAACAATTTGGCAACCATTTTTTCTTAAACTAGTCATTGGCGAGGTGTTGCCTCTCCATAGATCATAGCAGTTCTCTTGAAACAATGCATGTCACGAACTCACGATAGATATCATTCATCACCTAAAGAAGCATCTAATATTTACCTCAAGATATGTATCAACTGAAAATAATGATGAATATACATGTAAAGCCTTACGTATTACACACGATTTCTTTTAAACCAAACTAGAAACATCAGCCTTCAGAAAGACTAGTGGCTTCTAAGTAATTTACAATAACACCTTAAACAGCTTAAGGATCCACAAACGTAAAAGAGAGGGAAAAAAAAAATAAAAAACCTCCCGAGGAAGCCAGGATCCATCATTAGTTTCCAAAACATTTTTAAACATGTGGCTTTTACTTTCTACATGAATAAGCAGGAAATTTTCTCAGTGAGGTCTGAAGGGTGACCAACAAAGTAAAGAGAAAGATATCAATATAAATTTTGCATACAAGTGAACTACCATTAACACTGGAAATGATAGCAGAAATTAATGATTAGGAGAGCTAAAGGCACCCGTGATACTGCATCATAAATAGTTTTTCAGGCAAAATCCTTCACATCCTGTGCCAAAATTATTTAAACTAGCTTAAGAGCCACAGCAAGCAGATTTGGGAGTAGCTGGGGCTGGGGCACCTGAGTCTGTAGCACTGATCTTGAGTCCGCCACCAGGCTGCATGTTAAACACAATAAGGTATCAATTCCTAATTGCAGAAATTTTATGATACACAGTCATAATAATTTTCCAATCAAACTGTGTCAAGTTGTCCAAGAACAATCAAACAAATAAAATGGTAAGAGGCATTTCAGGATCAAAGTAAGTTTACAACAGAAGATATTTCAACAGGTACTTCAAAAGCAATGTAAAGGCTCATCACCCAGAAATCAGGTAGATGAGTCTTTTCTACCAACCAAGCACAAGATTAAAATGACCAGAACCCATATGAAGGCAGAATTACTCTGCTTACAAGCAACATCAATTTGACACTTACACCCTATTCAACTTATTTTGACTTGTTTTCAAATAAAATGGGTTGTAAAAAACTAATTAGACACACAAATAAGTTCATAAAAATTTCATAAAAATTATATGGTAAAAAATTATATGGTAAACAATACGTAGTATTACAACAAATAAGTTTTGTTTAGACAAAATAAGGTTTTTTTTTTTTTTTTTTTTTTTCGAACAATTACATGCACAGATAAGTTTAATTTTAAGACGAAAAAAGTTCAGATAAGACAATTTCAGACAAGTTGCCATAAACTCCCTCCGTTTCGTATTAATCACAACACTAGGGTGTTCAAAAAGTTTAAGAAAATTTTTAGGGTGGGGCCTAAAAGATAATTTTTTACAATATAAAGTATTGTAAGTAGGAGAGAGATAATAAAAAAGTAGTGTAAATGGAGTTGGTAGGAAAGTGAAATAATAAAATATTTGTAAAAGTAGGGTTAGTGGGAGAGAAATTATAAAATAATAGTGGGTCCTTTCCAAATATAGAAGTGTTGCAATTTATATGAAACGGATGAAAAAGAAAAGTGTTGCATTTAATATGAAATTGAGGGAGTAGAAAAGAGCCTTAAGAATTTTCTGTTACAAGGCAAATAAAATAAATTCTATTAGAGGTCTTACAGTCTCAGCCTTGGAATCAGATTCTGCAAGTCTCTGTTTGATATCCCTTGCTATTGAAAAGAAGACCTCCTCCACATTCAAATTCGTCTTAGCACTCTGTTACATAATAACTTTAGCAAGCATGACAGATAAACTAAAACCTAAGAAAACTGACCACCTGCAAGAAATTACTCAACTGTTTCAAAGAATTTGATTCCATACTCATCAGCCAAAGCTTGCCCCTTTGAAGTGGGAACAGCCTGTAAATGAAACTCTTCAATCAGTACCAAACGCATATTATAAGCAAACTGAGAAAGGAGAGGGGAGGAACAAAGAATTACCCTTTTGCTCTCATCCATGTCTGCCTTGTTGCCAACCAAAATCTTGTTGACATTGTCTGAAGCATGTTGTTCAATATTGCGGATCCAGTTCCTTATATCTGTGAATACAGATGCCATGTTAGTATTCCCACCATCCAAAGAGCCAATCAAAACACTACGATTAAAGGTGAGAAGAAAAGTCGATACATAGATTTGAAAACAAAAGTGCTCACAACATCTTTCCATATCAAAGAGTGCCCACAGTTTTAGTGCACCAAACTAGCAGTAAAGGAAAAACAAAAGTCAATGTACGGATGAAATAAAGAAATTACTGTTAAAAGATGACTCATCAGTAACATCATACACCAGCAAAATGCCCATGGCTCCACGGTAATAAGCTGCACAAAACATGATGAGGTGAGAAGTTAGTCAAAGTTTCAGTACAACCTATATAATGTTCAAATCCAATAACAAAGCAATAATTAAATAACATTCTGGCAATTTAGACCACAAGCAGCATAATTCTAAAGCCATGTATAAGAGTTTTTAAGAACTCCACATGATGTAATATATGTTATATAACTATAGAAGACTTTACCCCAAATGTTCATTAAAGAAGTCTATAGCCTGCTCCGTTACATAAAGTTAAAAACCATGCACTTCTACAGCATCCTAATTGACAGAGCTCTAACCAATATTCCAAATCAATTCAATTACGTAACCAAAACCAGATTAAGAACAAAATCAGACAACCCTAAGAAAAAAGGTAATATGGTCTTCTCCATACAAGGTATCTTCATCACATATATGAAGTTCAAGATCCCCTTTTCAGAATTCCAAACTCATCCTTCAAAGAAGCATGAAGGCAAAGGATTATATTTTGACAGTGTTTTCAGAAATTTTATCACCAACTAGGTCTTGTTTCCATGCCAAAATAATAGAGTATGAGCTTCATCATATAATTATTTCAGAAAAGTTTATGAAGCTTGAGCGAAAATAGTACAAGATCTACAAGGATAGAAATAATACAACTTGCCATCTTGTTTTGAGAAAAACAAATGCTGACGCTACTTTTTTAGAGACTAAAAACACAATCATCCAAAATGTAGAATAATGACTTCTATCTGGTCCATATCTCAAGGAAAGCAGCTTATGAGGACACTAAATAAATTTTAAAAATAACAATCTAAAACAAAAATTTTTGAAGTATGCCTTGACAGATTTTTCCAATTCCACAACCACAGTATCCAAAGTTTGACAAAAAAGCTTACAAACCAGATGATTCTATACCAGCTCTACTTTTCCCCAAACCACCAACCTCCATCCCCTATTTCCAAAGAGAAGACAGGGAATCCTTGGGGCAAACAGAGATCCTATCATCTTGAAAAAAAAATCTCCACACCATAGCATAAAGGCCTACAATGATGCTTCCTTTATACTAAAGAAGGGTTAGAAGACGGTCTTTTTTTAGATTAATTTTCTCTTACGCTTATTTGAAATTTAAATTCTAAGCTGTACTTTCTTTCTTTAATTTCTCAGAGGGAAAGGTAATACGTGTGAAAAAAACATAAAAGCACTAGGGAGAAATATAAAATTACCAGTAGTAATTGTTCGGAAGCGTTCCTGACCAGCTGTATCCCAAATTTGAAGTTTGATCCGTTTGCCATCAAGTTCTATGGTTCGTATCTTAAAATCAATGCTGTGGAAAGAGGCCTTAAGTTAAAACAAAGCATATAATGAATATATAAACTTGTATAGCCAAGTCCAAAGCAAACTACCCAATGGTTGTTATGAAACTTGTGGTGAAAGATCCATCAGAAAAACGCAGCAAAAGGCAACTCTTACCCACACCTAACAGATATGTCATAAACAAACAATTAACACCAAGCAGAATTTCATTTAACAATCTATAAACTTGATAAATATAAAAAGCATATAACAATACAAATGGAGAACATAGGTAATACAATGGCCAATGCATGAAATGCATTGGCTCATTGCCCCCAGCTAAAGCTCAGGGCTGACTGAAGCTAATAGAATTACCCCAGCCTAAACAATTTAGGTCTATCAATTGACAGCCTGCTCCAAGCCCAGATTAAAAATATAGAAACTAAAAAATTTGAGCAAATGAACAAACACAATGCCAAAAGAATTTATTCATAATTAATAAGAAAAAGATGACAGAAACATGTGATAACAGACACAGTTGTCTTAAACTTTCCCTACTTATACTTACATAGCTTTAATCAAGTAATACCCTTGAGAAACCATTAAACAGCTAGTAATTGTAATAACAAGCATTGAACTATTGCAACAGAGCAAACAACCACGATAGACAGCTATCAGCTACAACAATTACTTTTGCAAAACAAGACATCAGTCTTCTCAAGCACATTTATGAGGAGAGAGAAAAAATGACAGCCTTGACAAATGGCCATATACAACCAGAATTCATAGCACCTGCATAGATATTAAAAAAAAAAAAAAAAAACAAATGTAATTGTCAAACTGACCACCAATTATTCTTATGAAAAGTCAATAACGACCACAATCACCACATTTGACTATACCTTAATAGACGTGAGCAATTAAGCGAGCATAGGTACCCATCAGCAATATAAACAATTCTTAAAATACGAACTCAGAAAACCCATCAAATTGGGCAACTTGAAATGCAGCATCCTTTATTTTTAGGTTCAGTTAATTCAAGCATTTTAAAGTTGCTTACTAATAAAATCCTTGGAGATACAAACATGAAAAATAAAAATGATAAATAAATAAATAAGAAAAGCGGCAAAGGGGATGTAAATTAGTCCAGCATGGCAACCATATTAGATGAAGATGGTTTGGATTAACAGATTCACATCTCTGAGCATACCAAATTTGCTTAATTATGCCATCAACCAACTTAAACACTAACTATTTGCACAATTTTTGACTGGAATTAACCAACCTGCAAAGACCCTTGAAATAGTTACACCATGGACGTTCCTAAGACCTTATATTATCGTTTATAAGAAAAGTTACTTCATTAAAATAGTATGTCTCATTTAACAACAGGTGGAGTGCATTTTAGTTGTCATCTAGGAATGACCATTAGCATCATCTAAGTTTTCTTAGAATGTTTCATACCGAGGTAATCGCAGACCAAAAACACTAAAAGATAGAATATGGGTGATTTTTAAAATATAGCAATTTAATTAAATTTGTGACAATATCAAATATTTAAGTGACTTTTCAATAATACCACAAATAAAGCCTCATCCAGTATCTACCATCGTACAAGATGACACATTAATACTACTCCGAAATTCTTTAAGTCAAGCAAGTATTTTTTATTCAAAATGGACAACATATTAGCTACGCCATACCCATTGCTTAAAGCAGGAAAGCCAATCATGACTCCTTACGAAGTATAGTAATACTCGATGACATTGGGACACGAGTTACCTATGTATTAGCCATTGTGAAATCAAATTTAGCAACTTCTTCTTCACAACTAACATTCTTCTTAGAACTCTTCTCAGGTCAATTACACATCCAACTAAGCACGATTCCTAAAACTTTTACAATAAAGCATACCAAACTGGTCACATAAGACAATGTGGGCGTTACAAAGTCGAAACTCGAACCCCAACAATCTAACACCAATGTAAGAAATCCTCAACAAACCACAAGTTAAATAAATGTTCTCATCATATATCAATAATGCCCAATAAATTCATCAATAAAGCATACAAATATTAAAATTGGCGAATCAAATTCGTAAATCTGCAATAAAAATAGCTTGATCTAACTGAACAAAAAACAAAATCCAATCCAAATACAAAAAATCAATACTAAAAAACGAAAACCTAGAAATCAGGAAAATTACCGCTATCACCGATCAAGAGAAGTTTAATGAGATAGTCATAATCGGCTCTAGCCCTAGCAGGTGGAGCAGCCATTGATTTGATCTTCTTCGACCTCTAATTAAATTCAATTGACGAGCACGAAGAACCCTAGAAAATTAATAGGAAAGAAAAAATTATAAAGTTACGCAATTTGGAGAAAAGAGTCGAATTTTATAAAAGGAAAAGAGGGGAAATTTACCAGATCGAAGCAAAGAGGGAAAAAGGAAAATGAGGGAGCGATCTAAGAACAAATACTTGTAATATGGTGGGGAAACTAAGAAAAGAGGACGTCACACCACCCAAGATATTTTGCTTCAAGTTCAAAAATTTTGTATCATGTCAAAATAAGGATTATATTAGGATAATTTGTAAATTACCACCTAAAAATGTACTTGTTTTTGAAATAACCATCCATTTAATTTTTTTTTTTTATTTTATCATCCCTTAAATTAAATAATCACTCAGATTACCACCCATTTTAAAATTTCGATGGTTTTCGTCTGTGGGCCCCACCTAACGGGTGGTAACTTAAAAAATTTCCTCATATTTTCATTTTTTCCCTCGATTTTTTCTCTCTCCTTCTTCCTACCTTCGATCCTTCATTTTTCTCTAACCTTCTGACAATTTTTTCTTCTCCCCCCTCCCCCACTTTTTCTCTCCTCCATTTTTCTCCATTTTTCTTCTGTCAAAATGATGAAAAAAGCTTCAAATTTAAGCAACAAAGCTTGGAGTATAGCTTCTTTAATGGCAGAACTCCCTCTTTCTCCTTCCTCTTTTAATTTAATTAACAACTTTTGTAATAATTGGATTGGGGATTTTCTGAAATTAGGGTTCCGCTTCAATTGAATTGGGGGTTTTCTTAAATTAGGGTTTTCATTTTAATTGAATTGGGGTTTTCTTAAGTTAGTGTTTGTGTCTATCAAATGAACTTTTTTATGCAGATTCACAACGTTAGCACTTTGGTATCTTACAAAAATGATGATGAAAATTGGATGAACAATAATCGACTACAGTCTGTGATTTTGGAGAAAAATCGAATGAACTACGAAGTATTATGTTTGTTTTTTAGTATGTGTTAGTGTGGTAATGTGAATCATTAATTCACAATTTTGTATTTGGTATTCCAAACTATTACCAGTACCTATGTATCTGAAAGTGTTGGTTCATCAATTGGATTGAAATTTATCCAAATGTTAGCTGATTGTGAGAAAACTAAAAACTGCTTTCTTTCTTATATCGAAACTTAGGTGCTAGACGCGTATAATGTTTGCTGACATAATATTGAGTTTTAGAGACAAATAATAGTGTTAAGCTGCGCCAGGCTACAAGCAGCATCAGCAGAATTGTCTCTTTAAACCACTGAGTAGATAACTTGCAAGTTTCGTTTTGCTAGAATTAAATTAAAAGAGGAAGGAGAAAGAGGGAGTTCCGCCATTAAAGAAGCTATACTCCAAGTTTTGTTGCTTAAATTTGAAGATTTTTTCATCATTTTGATAGAAGAAAAATGGAGGAGAGAGAAAGTGGGGGAGGGGGGAGAAGAAGAATTTGTCATAAGGTTATAGAAAAATGGAGGATTGAAAGTTGAAGAAGGTAGGAAGAAGGTTGAAGAAGGTAGGAAGAAGGCGAGAGAAAAAATCGAGGGAAAAAAATGAAAATATGGGGAAATTTTTTAAATTACCACCCGTTAGGTGGGGTCCATAGACGGAAAACCACTAGAATTTTGAAATGGGTGGTAATCTGAGTGATTATATAATTTAAGGGGTGATAAAATAAAATAAAATTAAACGGGTGGTTAGTTCAAAAACAAGTACATTTTTGGATGGTAATTTACAAATTATCCATTATATTATTTACAAAAATAAATTTATAGAAAATAGAGTTTGATGTTATAAAAATAGAAGTTGATTTTTAAATTACATAATACAAGCTGCGAAACACACGCAATGCGTGCACGAAATTATAAAAATGTTTTAAATAGGATATTGTTTGATTGGATAGTACATCTTCAAGTAACAAAAAAAAAAAATTCATTCTAGATAAGTAAACAATAAAGAAAGTACATTTTTCTCTTTTAAAAAAAAAACCTATCAATAATACCAAAAAAGAAAAAAAAAAAAAAAAAAAAAAAAAAAAAAAGTAACTCCGTGTTGATGTTAATTGTTATTACTACTTGGCATCCAATATTAGGGAAGCTACACTACCTCAACAATCAAGCTCCAATAAGGTTCGAAAATCCAATATGTCATCCTCAAACATAGCCAAAGTTTTAACCATGAATAGTTTAATTAAATTGTCTTCTTGAGATTCTTGACTTTGAAAATTGATATACGAAAATGAGGGGATGAGTAAGTGTTGGCCTACAAATAAACAAACTCTTGTCATATCCAATTTTTTTTTTTTATTAGGAACATGTAGAGGTGTCAATTAAGATGATCGGATCGGGTCTGATGAGTTTGGGTCGGGTCGGGTCAGTTTTTAAAGTTGAGTCATGCTAAAATATTGTGTCCATGCGAGTCCAAATTTAAATCGGATATTTTCCGAGTCGGTTTTGAATCGGGTGGGACGGGTGTGATTTTGACACCTCTAGGGAACATGTCATATCCAATTTATAACTCTAAATATTTAAATTAAATAAATAAAATAACACAATAAGATAAATAAAATAAAATTGACTAACGCAAATATATTAGATAGCAATATAAGACTAATGTACTTACAATATTTGAAGTCATCTAAGTGATCGAAGATCAAAGATATCTTTTTTTTTATAGGAAGAAGAATATTATCATTAATAAATAGTCATACGACATCTACAATAATAATAAAAATAAAGAATTAATTTGTAAACCACAGGTCTAGAAAAAATAACATAACTTTTACAATCAAAATCATAACTATTTTGCATATCGGACATAGCTCACACTCCACCGCTTCAAACTTGACGCGGGCAGTGGAAAAATCAAAGACATCTTAAGAATCAATCAAGACAAAAGTTAATGATCCAACCAAATTAAAATTGATTGTCAGAATTCAGAGGAAAATAAAAATAGATTGTCAAATACTAAAAAAACAAAAAAATCATGAATTTCAAAAAAAAAAAAAAAAAAAAAATTTACAATATGATTTACCAAAGTATTACAGAATAAGAAACATAATAATTGATTCAATATCATTCGCCAAATTCCCGTAAAAAAAATAAAAAATAAATTGAAGATAGTTTTTGATAGATTAAATATTATACAATCTGGAAAGCCCCCAACTTGTGTTTCTTTCGGAGACTAAATTGAAGAAGTTTGAGAAGGAAAAAAATAAACAAAGAATCAAGTTCACTGGCTATTTCATAGTTGAATGCGAGGGTGAAGGTAGAAGAAGAAAGGGTGGTTTAACTTTGCTGTGGAAAGATAGTATTGATGTCACGGTGAGTTCCTTCTCCTCAAATCATGTTGATGATCGGGTGAGTTCGAGGCTTCAACGGCAGTGGCGCTTCTCAGTTATCTACGGCCATCCGGATACTGAAAAGGAATATAAGACTAGGATGCTAATGGAGAGTTTGAGGGGTGATTGTGATGAACCTTTGCTGTGTAGGGGTGATTTGAATCTCATGCTCCACTCTGGTGAGAAACAAGGTGGGCAAGAGTTTGATGTTGAGGAAGCTGATATTTTGCGAAATGCCGTGGCTCATTGCCAATTGGAAGATCTCGGGTATATAGGGCATGAGTTTACGTGGTCAAATAATAGAGGTGGGGAGGAAAATATCCAAGAACGTTTAGACAGATTTATGGCAAATAGAGCTTGGAGGGACACTTTTAAGGGCTCTTTTGTTTCACATCTTACGAAGAGGAAATCTAATCATCTTCCGATTCTCCTATGCATCAAAGATACACCCTCTGCGTAGAAGAAAAAAAAAAGAAAAAAATGTTATACAGGTTGAAGAAGATGTGGCTACGGGATGAGAGTTGTGCCAGTATTATTTCGGAGGCTTGGGATCGTGGGGGTGATTTGTGCTCAAAAATAGCCTTTACTTCTATGAGGCTAAGTGCTTGGGGCAAGGAGAAGTTTGGGGATTTTATCGAGGAACTTAATGCATGCAAGGCCCAAATGAAATCACTAATGGGGGAAAATCAAATGGAGGAGGTAATAGCACAAATGAGAGCCATAGATGATCGTATGGATGAGCTTGAGAAGAGAGAAGAGATGTACTGGAAACAACGTAGTAGACAAGAGTGGCTCAATCATGGGGACAAATATACATCCTTTTTCCATCAGAAGGCGAAGCACAGGGAAGCTCGTAATAACATATCCCAAATCAGAGATGAGGCTAGGAATGTATACAAGGAGGAGGAACAGATTGCTGAGCAGTTTGTTAATTTTTTTGAAGAGCTGTTTGCCAGAAGCAGTAACATTGAAGTGGAGCCGGTGATTGAGAAGGTGATTCCAGCCATTGATGATAGACAATACACGAGCTTGGCTGCCCTGTTCACCGCAGAGGAGGTTCGAGTTGCACTGTTTCAAATGCATCCTACAAAGGCCCCCGGGCCCGATTGTATGTCCGCAATTTTTTTCCAAAAATTCTGGGATATTGTTGGGAATGATGTAATTGAGAAAGTGCTGGATATTTTATGGGGATGTAGGTGCTATTAATCAAACTCATATTGTTTTAATTCCGAAAAAAAAGAGTGTGAGTCACCTGTTGATTATAGACCGATTAGCTTGTGTAATGTTCTGTATAAAATTGTCAATAAAGTGCTAGCTAACAGATTAAAATTAGTTATCCCGTATATTATCCATGAGTCGCAGAGTGGCTTTGTTCCGAGACAACTAATCACTGATAATGTGTTAGTGGCATATGAATGCTTCCACTATCTTCGGAAAAAGAAAACAGAGAAGAAAGGTTATCTTGGGCTCAAGCTTGACATGAGCAGCCTATGACAGAGTTGAGTGGGAGTATTTACAAAAAATGATGTTGAAACTGGGTATGCCAGAATCTTTTGTAAGCCTGGTGATGAAGTGTGTGAGTACTGCAACCTTTGATGTTCTTGTGAATGGACAGCCATCGAGAATATTTAAGTCTACTCGGAGACTTCGACAGGGGGATCCCATATCTCCTTTTCTGTTCATTTTGTGTGCGGAGGGGCTGTCGACGTTACTTAGGGATGCTGAAGGAAGAAGGCTCATTCATGGGGTGAAGATTGGTAGGCATGTAAATATGATTTCTCATCTTTTCTTTGCAGATGACAATCTCCTATTTTTGAGAGCGACAGAGGAAGAAGTGGAGAGTGTTCTTGGGATTCTCTCTACCTATGAGATGGCTTCGAGAGAGATATTGAATATGGATAAGTCA